AGGTAATATTGAGTATTCATGGGACAGTTGTTGGCAAGGACTACTAGAGCTTCTCCCTGGAGATCCATACATGCCATTCTTCCTTCCTTTCTACAATACATCAGGTATGATCTTTGTTTTTGGAACCAAGTGAAGTTTTGGGAGAACCTTTGGGTGGGAGATGTGCCTTTGAAAGATCAATTTTCCTCTTTATTTCTCTCTCCCGGTATAAAGGGGAACTTGTGTCTAATTTTCTAGTCCCTTCCGAGTCAAACTTTGGGTTTGATTGGGATTTGGGGTCTTAGAAGAGGCCTTAGGGATTTATAATTTGAAAATGTTTTGGATCTAATCCAGGTTTTGAATGGGGTGGTATTGGATCCTTCAAAAAGGGATAGTAGAATTTTGGACTTTATCCCCCCTGGTGTTTTTTCCTGTGCTTCTTTCTATAAGTCTTTGGTGCAATCTGTCAACAACAATGTCCAAACTTTCCTAGTAAAGGAAGTATGGGGTAAACTGATCCCTCTAAGGATTGGAGCTTTTTTTGTTGGGAATCCTTCTTGGAAAGATGCAATACTTGTGACCTACTCCAAAGAAAAAGGCCTAATTGGTGCTTGTGGTGCATCCTGTGCAAGGCTAATGGTGAAAGCTCCTACCACTTATTAATTTCTTGCCATTTTGGTTATGATATTTGGGAGTGGTTTTTAGCTTTATTTGGTGTTTGCTGCTTCTTTCTTTAGGTGGCCGAAGACAAGGGGTAAAATCATGTGGAAATGTGTGAGAGCTGCCATATGCTGGACTCAATGGGAGGAAAGGAATTCAAGGACCTTTTCTGAAAAGGAAAGGAAGAAAGAAGATATAATTGAAGTTATAACAGTTGGGGTGGTGCAATGGTTAAAATTTTTGGATCTGTTTGCTGATGTCTCTATGGGTATGCTGCTTAACAGTTGGAAGGAGGTGGCAAATTCTGCACTAGCTCATTCAACTACGTGTCCTCTGTGGTCACCACCAGCCTCTAGTTTTATAAAGTTAAACTTTGATGGTAGTAGTGAGGGCAATCTGGGACCTTTAGGAGTAGGAGGTGTTTTCAGAGATGAAAATGGGAAGGTGGTTGCAATGTACTCAGGTCTCATTGGGGTTGGTGACTCTCTTAGAGCTGAGATGTCTACTTTAATGAAAGGATTAATTAAGGAAGGTAAAGGAGCTGAATATTCAAAAGCTAGTTGTTGAAGGAGACTCAAAGCTGGTTTTAAACTGGTTAGAGGACAGTGGACTCTAGAAATATGCCATTGATAGGAGGGAGGTTAACTGGTATTCAGGGGTTGGAAGTTCAGTTTCATTGGGTGAAGAGAACAGCAAATGCCTTTGCAGATACTTTGGCAAAGCAGGGGGTGGGAAGGGATCAAATGTTTTGGGCCATTTTAATAGTATAAGTTTCTGTTATTGAGCAAAACAAAAATTTTCAAACTCTTGGATATGAGCAGTACTTTTGTCAGGCACCAACATATAACCATCTGATGGATCTCAGAATCCCCTTCATTGTTTTCTTTTCTCTGATGGGTAGGAAGTTGGTGAAAGACATGTTTGATTTGAAGGGACTACATGATAGGGTCTTATATGGATGCTTGAAATGATAAGGCACTCTGTTTGTGTAGACAGTGGATTTTCCTGGCTTATTTTCTACCATTGACATGTTCAAAGCTCAATGACCTGGCTTTCATATACTGAGAAAAAATTAATCTGGAACTTATCAACAAAGAAAATGAAAAAGTAATCTGGCTTTTATAATTTTGGCTTCATGATATTACTGGAATATTTGAGTCTCCAGGAAATGATGGAGAAATGAAGTTTATGGAAGCATCCGATAAATGTTTTAGTACCAAGGGCCTCCTGGTGGTGATCATGGAGTTGGCTAGCATATGTTGTATGGCACATTTGGCATTATTGAATCCCTTTTTTATCTGGATCCTAGAAAATGTGGGTGAAATTTAGAATCTTATGGTTTATTTCCAAAGGGGTAGATGTTCTCCCACATTATCCTGCTAGATGAGACCTCCTTTCCATGCTTAAGGTTTGTATTGATCAATATTTTGAAAGAGATGTTATCAAGTTGTTTCTGGTTTCCAAAAGGGATAAATGGTTCTGAAGAGTCTTTTGAAAGTGAAGCTAATGGAAGTAGCGAGGGCCTTGCACATGCTAACAGGAGAGCCAGTTGGAACTTATACCATATGAGTCCTGGTGGTGACCATGTAAGTTGAGCAAAGAGAAACTGATAAAAAATCCATTTTTTATCTGGATCCTGGAGGATCAGGATTTGAATCTTATGGTTTGTTTCCAAAGGAATAGATGTTCTCCCACATTAGCCTGGCGGATGAGGCTTCCATGGTTAAAGTTGGTATTGATTGGTCTTTTGAAAGAGATGTTATCAAGCTATTTCAAAGAGAATGGTTTCTAATGTGGTTGGGAGATCTTATTATTGTGTTTTTTTATAGCTTTTTTGTGTTTATTCTACATCCTCACTTGTACTCCCTTCTGCATTTGCTTGGCTTGTTCAAAATGAAATGTCACTCCTCTTCAAACACATGCACACACACACACAGTAATTTGATGTAATATATATATATATATATATATATATATTACCAACAAACAGTAATTTGATGTAAAATGTATTAATAAAATTTCACGGCACCTAGCTTGTTATTTTTGTCACCTAAACAGTCGCATTATCTAGACGGACACCTTGTTGATATAACTTATGGCATTCAGGCTAGGTGCTTACCTATGGTTGTCTTATTTTCCAAGGGATGCTTTGACAGCTGTTTTTATGTGTTTTCAATTGCAAAAGTCACGGGAAGTTTGTAAACCTCCACAGAGGTGTGGGTCCCAGTCATGAGCCAAAACAAAGCTATGGAATCTCTTTTAAGGATTCAAAACTCTCACAGGACAAAAAAGATGGCTTTATCACGTCTCCCGGAGTTTTAGGGAATAGAGAAGTATCAAGTTAAAGCCACCTGCCACCTCAGATGGCTCTAAAGTTCCCTCAAATCAAATTGCTGATAAGTGGGAGGAGCTGAGGTGACCCATATGCAATGCAGCACTGAAATTGACCTATTTGACATAGAGAGTCCAATGTCATGGTCATTGTGGACAAGGAATAATGTTAAAAAAGCTTAACTAGAGCTGCTGTGCTTTGGAAATTTGGTCACAGCTCTCTTTTATGAGAGCAGAGCAGATTCTCATGGTTGATTCAATTTGAATCTACTGGAACTTTGCAGAAAAGATTATATCTCTAGAATGCTGTAATTTTTTTTTGACCAGCAACAGAAAATTATTAATAACGAGATAAAGTTTCAGCCTTTAGGTAGCCTCGGTTACCCAAAACAAACTTAAGCACAGGACATCAGCTAACAGAAGCTACAACTTTTTTACTTTACAAGTTAGCCGAGAAACACTGTTCCCTGTTTACCTCTTGCTTTGCCAAGTGATCTGCTAAACTGTTGGCTGATCTTGGGATCCATTGAAAAACCAATTGCATATATATCCCTTGGAAGGCTGCTAAACCTTTTGATTTCATTTTTGAAACACCAAGGAGTGACTCCTTCAACTATCAGCTTCCTTGCCCCTTACTCCACCGCTTTTTGAATCCCAAAGACCACTGGGAAAGGCAAAGGGGAAGTAACTGAAGAAGACAAAGATTTAAAGAAAGAGGCACAACTGAACACCCCTGAAGAAGACAACCCAATATGGCTATCCCCCTTACTGTCATTAAAGAAAACCCCATCAAGAATTTGTAGGAGATCTGAAACTAAACCCAATTCTGTATCTCTTCCAACTCTCCAACCCTACCCTATCAGCTTTGGAGATCAATCTGCTGAACACCTCTGCATGAGAGTAAACAGAAAGGAGGTAGTTATTTGCCAGCTCTGGAATGCTGTCATTATATGGTAGTTATTTGCCTGGGGTATACCCTGACCTGGCCCACAATTTTCTGGGTTTGGTAGGTTTTGCATCCAGGTCTAGAATAGACCAGGGCCCAATGCTCATACGCTTGTCTAGGTTAAACCAGTTATACTAAGCCCAGCCTGGCCAATGATCATCCTTACTGCTTGTGAGCTGAAAGGGTTCCTCCTTTTGAACTGATAGTTGAATGCATTGGCTTTTCCCCTAGCACTGTGACCGCTTGGTCTAGGATTTGTCATGGTTTAGAGACTACCACACATAAGAAAGGCTAAAGCTGGGCTATGGCAACACATGGGCCAAACTAAATCACAAAATTTGAAATAAAGGACCTGTAATTCTTTCACTTTAGAACATTTAACTGGACAGTGGGGTCAAGATTGTTTCTTTTGAAGGCTGCCTCACTAAAGAAAAGGTTTTTCTTTTGAAGCTAAAAAGAGCTGTATTAAAATACCCGGCTTAGATGGTTAAAGTATCTATTCTGATATTTTGTACAACCATTGCTTTACTTGGGACCTATTAAATAGTAGTTCCTGATTGTTGAAACATGGGATAGGTGGCATTTTATTCGAGCCTCAAACCTGTCTGTGGGTTATGTGTCTCCAGGGGGGACCCAGGGGAGCCATGGTGTCCCCCTTGGCCCTTCCATATAGATTTCCACCCTCTCCCTAATCCATGTTAGGTTTTGGTCACCCCAAGAAAAAATCCTGGCCCTGCTCGTGTGCTCCTAGATCCAAGATGCTCCTATTTAGAAATAGATTTTTAACTTCGCTTGTATATAAATGTCAATTATCCTTGCAAGGTGCCAATTAGCTGGTTGGTAAGGTCTCCTGCTTTATAGCAGAGACTTGGGATTGAATCCCGCTTACACCTGGGTTGGCGGGGGGGGGGGGGGGCTGGTGTATAGACCGTTGGAAAAAAAAAAAAAAAAAAAAAAGAAAAGATATCAATTATAATTGATCTTATGATTCTATGATCCTCTTTAATCTAAGCTTTATTTTTTTTTCTTTTTCTTGTGTTTTTCTGATCCTCATTGTAAAAACTTATTTCTGATCCTCGTGTAGAATGAAATTGATTATGGTGGAGAGGAGCCATCAATGTCCCCCAGGCAGCCATTCCAAAATCAACACTCTCAACCGACAATGCACTTTGTGAACCCAGCAGGTGCCCAGATATCTTCTGGTTCGTTTGGGTTGGCTGCTGCTGGGCAAGGTCCTCGGTCTGTTCACTCTGATAATCAAGCTAAGAATTCAGTCTTCTCAAATGCTCTTTCAAGTCCAGTTCGCCGGAGCCTTCAGCACTATCATTTAACACAGGGAGGTTATTATCCTAATAGTGGTATGCCCTCTGGAAATGTAGCCCGGAATGTTGAAGCCAGCTTTTCTCATCACCAAAACAGGGATTCTAATTCCCCCAGCTCCAACGATTCCTCCATGGACATGCATGCTGATAGTCCTGGTCATGAATCTCCTTACTGATGAGGTGCTTCACAGGTCGACTTCCATTATATTGGTCAGTCTTGAAACAGAGCTGCAATTCAGTCTCTATTGGTTGCTGCAACTCCATATAGATGAAAAAACATGATATGAGAAAGGTTGCTGCTTGTGGAAATAAGCATGTGATGCTTGTGTCTTGGCGTGCGGTTTGCAGAGCATAAAATTAGTGGAATGTTCTCGTGGAAGAGAATGCAATGTGATGGATGCCAAAACCGTCAACTGATTTGTTGAAAGGTTCTCTCCAATCTTTTTGCTTTGGTGTTCTATGTATTAAAAATATTAGGTGCTCGTTTTGGATTGTTTCTGGATATTTGGTAGTAGTCTTTACAGGTTCACATTGACAGTGTTTAGTAATATTCTCTGATGTTTTTTAGGATGCCTTATTGTAGTGAACTCTTTTCTATGTTATTAACGTCATTGTATTTGTAGATATGTACATCGCCTATGCATTCTGTGTGGCTGTGGCTGGTTTCCAAAATTTACCATGTAATGGGTAATGTCGACTTTGGCTTCAGAATTCAGAGCTCACCCTTTGCAAGCTGAAACCTTACCAAGTCATTTTTACACTTACTTGACAGGAGAACGGGTTCTATTTCATTCCTTGCACTTACTTGACAGGAGTGAAGAATTTTATTTTTTAAAGAGAAAAAAGGAAAGCTTTATTGATGCAAACCAATGGGGGGGGGGAGGTGACCTGCCCTCTAAAAGTACATCAGGATTCAGGAGCAAAATTACTCTATAAATCAGCAAACAAATTAACGAAAAAAATGGTGATGACCCTTGTTTTTCCTTCCATCCTTGGAATTCCTTTTCTTTTGGGTAAATTGTTGAAACATCATTTCCTGAAATTTCTGTAGTTGTTTAAATCTCCCCTGAAGTTAGGTAATTTCCATCATCTCTAAACTTTTTAACATAGTTGCAATTTGACTCCGTCTATTAGATTCCTCAATCCTTAACAAGAGGCATGGAAGTTTTTCAAATTTTCTCTTCATTTCAATTGTTATTCCAAAATTTTCCAATCTCTTTTCTGAAATTGATTTATTTTTTAAATTCTCTTTTTTTTTTGTTTATACCGTTTGTATTGGTTTTTTATAAATCAGATTCGATGGAAACTGCATGGGAAATGGGCGTTTTGTGCCTCGATTTTAATAAAAGGGGTCTAATTGCAATTGTGTCAAAAAGTTTAGGGGGGTTTCAGCAATGATCAGAAACTTCAGGTGAGGTTTCAGAAATTTACATTTTTCTTTTTCTCCACCTCATTGTTTTCCTTTTTGGGCTTTTTGGGCATTTGAAGAAGATTTGTTTCTATTTGTTTGTCTCATCGTTAATTAGATCACCCTTTAACTTTACATTCTATCATTCTAAGGCCTTGTTTGTTTCTTGGGAAGTAACTTACCTGGGTAAATGCACACCCGTGTAAGTGTCATGTTCTTTTATTTTTCAGATAAATAAGATTAATGACCATTTTAACCATAAAAAACCATTATTAAAAGGAGCATTTTTGTCCATTTAAGTGTTGACAATTTTCTCTCTAAGTGGGAAAGGTATTCATTTGAGAGATGGTTTCACTTACCTAGGGGAAATAAATTTTTCATAGACCCTATATAAATCTTAAAAAAGAACATGGATATCTTAGTCAATGGGAACAAAAATCGCATGAAACCAAAATTTTCTATTGAACCAAAATCCTATTAATTGACCAAATGTCCCCTTTTCAAAATCTAAAAAATGAATAGGCCCTAAATGCCTTGTAGCAAGATCTTGTTATACAACCATGAATCAAACCAAGGTTTTAAAAATCGAACCAGAAATTGAACCATTCTAGCCACCGGTTCGATTGTTTGGGTCAAACGGTTTAAATATTTTAACAGGTGATATATCATATTATTCGTTAGATTGGAATATTAGGGTAAGATGCATATAAATATAAGAGAAATAAGGTTTGACTGTTTGAGAACAAGAGAGATTTGAGATGCTTTCGACGGCTAAGAGAGTTTAGAAGAAGAAGAAGGTCACTTGCAGGCTGCAGCAACGACAACGACGGAGACTTATAGAGGCAACAGTGATGGCGATGGTGGCAAACTGGCAATGAAAGTAGATATGAGATTTCTTTCAGTCTTAGATCTCTCTCTCTCTCTCTCTCTTAGATTTGTCGTCTAGACTCTAAACTAACTCTCCCAGATCTCTAAATGTGAGATCTCTCATATCTCTCTCATTGTCTCACACATCCCTCTCTCTCTCTCTCTCTCTCCAGTAGATCTCAGATCTGAGAGATATTCTCTTTTCATTCTTGTTCTAACTTGTTGGAAGTAATAAATCGCAAACCGTTCTCTAGGTCGAACGGTTCAACGGTCAAACCGTTTGGGTCAATGGTCCGTTGACTAATTCAACGATTTTTGACCAAGGACCAGATTTGGGTAAAACAGAACCAGTTGTCTGAATGGTTTCCGGTCCGAACGGTCCAACCGTCCGGGTCAATAACGATTCGAAAACATTGAATCAAACAGGTGGTCTCCTTCGCCCCCGCGCCCCAGTTTTTGTTAATGAATGGAGCGACGTGGTGATGCCATACCCTAAAATACCTCAGCTGTGAGCTGGGAAAAATAGCATCTCATCCAAGTTAGAGGTCTGTATACTGTGGATTGATATGGACCAATATACATGTCAAGATGAACCGGTAACTTGACAAGGGCAATAGAAATCCCCTTTTTTATATATTTTTAACCCCAAACAATAGAAATCTCTTTTCCTAACTGGAAGGGAAGATGGGTGGGGGCGGACGTAAATGCCTTACCCCACAAAAGAAGATATACAAGAAAATGGCCACTCGATTCAAAAATATAGAAATCTATTTGAATCACCTTATTTTGGTATAAAAAAATTGTGGGAAGCTCCTTAAAGCCTGAGTGACCTTTGATCCATGGTTTTTGAATTGTTGTTGATCCAGACGGTTGGACCATTTGATTTAGACATCATCCAAGCAACTGGTTTCGTTTAATCCCAAATTCAGTCCTTGGTTAAAAATTGTTGAATCGGTTAATGATTCGTTGATACAAGCGATTAAATCATTGACCCGTTGATCCATTCAATAGTTTTTGGCTGTTTTTTATTTTTAATTAATTTTTTATTTTTAAAATTTTTATTGTCAGAACATGCCGTTCATTTGAATCAGACAGTCAAACTGTTGACCCGGAAACCGGTGGCCAGAACGGTTCTGTTTCTGGGTCACTTTTTAAAACCATACTTTGATCTATCCTTTTCTTTAGTATCACGATTTTTATAAAAAAAATTGAAAATAAGGAACCAGGCACAGAGAGAGAGAGATGAATAAATACTTGACTATCATTGTAACTTGCAACCAAGGATCAAAGTATGAGGTCAGTGGGTCATTAATCAGTTCAACGGATTTGGCAAAATAGCAGTTTGGGGTCAAAACAAAACTGGTACTAACAGTTCTCGGGCCAAACAGTTTGGCTGTTTGGATCTGCGGTTTGAAAACCATGCCTAAATTGACCTAAATTAACTGATTGCCCTTGGACACATACATGTTCATGCAATCTATCTATCTGTGTGTACAAGAAATATGTAGATGAACATTATTTCCATTAAATAATAAATTGCAGACCTACAATAATTCAAAATAATACAACATTATTTTGAATTTTGAAATATGTAGATGAACATTATTTCCATTAAATAATAAATTGCAGACCTACAATAATTCAAAATAATACAACATTATTTTGAATTTTGAAATATGTAGATGAACATTATTCACTGGTTTGAATTGCAGACCTACAACAATTCAAAATAATAAATACCTCCACCTACAACATTATACCTGTGAGTGAATTGGCATCAATTCTGAGCTGTCACCCACCCCCAATTATACGGTGGAGCTAGGATTTCTGAGATGGACAGTAAAAATTTTATTTTATTTTTAAATTAGACTATGAGACCTAAATGAAATATACACATACAATACACCCGGATGGGAAAACCATTTTATTAAAAAAAAACATTTATCCAAACTCCCTTTAAATAGTCATATCGGGAATCAAAAGATACACTCATACACCCCAAATCAGGCATATTGTATTGAAGTTTTGAATGTAGAAAACATGAGTGAGAAACATTTGAAACCCAGCTGACCTGTGAAGCTCGATCATGCCCAAACCCTGCCTGACTTGTGTTGGGTTTAACTCAGGGGTTGGGTTTGGATAGGCAACTCTGGCTCTTACATCAGGTGTAGGCCAAGCCTGTGCCCGAGATGTAGGTCTCAGGATTGGGCCTGGTTGACCTTAAAACCAGCCCAACCCACCCAAGTTGCATCCCTATTCACATGCCAACCCATATATAGATAGATGGACTAGCTAGGGTCTAATATTATACAAAACGAAGGACAAAAATAAGAATAATTGATTGATATCTAATGGATCAGAATCTCTATCTAAAATCTTATGATTCATTAAGCATAATATCTAGTTGTTATGTTTTTGAAACCAAAGAAGTTTAAGACTGCATTTGTGGTTTCACTAAAAAACACTACAAATCAAGAATGTATTTCATGTGTTTTTGTTTGACCAAAATAATATTCATTCAAGCCATTTGTGAAAATTCACATTGGAGAACACTCCTCAAGTTTTCAAGGTCAACAGTTTTACTAATAAAGAAGGAAGGTGAGCTCTCAAAGAATCCATTTCATTTATGCCTTTTCTAATTAAGCATTTCCTTTATTCTAAGCTTTAATAAAGCATCTTCTAAGCATAGGAAGAAGAGTTTTCTTTTTGGTAATTAATACAAAAGATGAAGAGAACTATTGTTATGGTCATACACATTATAGTCCCTACTCCCTACACACTGCTCATGATCCAACACTGACTAAGCTCCACTCAATAGAAAAGTGGTTGAACACCTTTATGGGGCACTTGACTTTTAGTCTAGGGCTATGTATGTGTCAATCGCTTTTGGAAGTTCTATCTTCCCCAGGAAATCCAGAGGGAGGTTGCTTCATTCCATCTGTTCAAAGTACAATTAAGGGGTTCCTTGTCCTTACAAAACTAGCTTTTCCCACAAAGGCACTGTATATCTTTTGGCTAGTGTTAATTGTGTGAGAAAATGTAGGATAATCTTGGTCTCATCCTTTAAGTACATCTCCCAATCAATTTGGGGTTCTACATAGATTAATTATAGCTTAATATATAGAATTTCTAGCCTGTCTTAAAAAGCATGATATTGTCCTGTCATCATTATTAATTGTTAATTCCATACTTCATATAATTAATCAACAGAATTAATGGAAAACTAGCGGAGGTGCCCTGCTTCGTAGGGGCTGGAGTGGAATTATTAACCCGATGATCCGTTGATCTGGTCTTTGCCCAAAAATCGTTGAACCGGTTAATGATTTATTAATCTAAGCAGTCGAACCATTGATCCGTTGACA